TTCTCAATTACTGTCTGTAAAACATGACATTTAAAGCTATAGAATATGAGTGATCTCCAAACATTTAATCAGATTTCTTTTTGAATTTGGACGAATGAATGCGTACTGCTAAATTTGGACGCAGGCTACTGTAGCTGTAAATAAATCCCCAAAATCAATATCTCATTAAGTTTTCGACATTAGACGCTGACCACATTGTCGAAGTGGACTTGTTTAACTGAAGGCTTTCGGTCATGCATCCGTACCAGATCACGTTTCGACCCAGCGTGGGACACTGCTCCTACGTTCACTAGCCAGCTTAGAATAAACGCTTCGCGATGTATTGATAACGCATCGAATATATCCTTCCTACCTCTTCTTGTCTGACTTCTGAATTCCATTGGTCGGAGAAAAGCTTCTCATATAGAAGGTGCTACTGGTGTGGTGTTGTGTACTTATATCCATATAAGTAGTATATGGTGTGGGTCAGACATAGAATGTATTTTCACAGAAGACCGATGACGAAAGAACTGAAATGAAGTGCAATCGTTTGGAAAATGCATGAGCAATGGAATTAGAGAAGAAACAGTGAAGATTGAAACAATTGGTTGTTAATTTGCAAATTGACTGTTCATTGTTTGGTTATCAGAATTTACCGAGATAGTCTGTAATGTTTGCTTAAATACATTTGATTGTCCCCAACTAGTGTTCTGTTCACTACACTGGTAGCAGGTTGTAAAATCAGAATACTAGTCGTATCTTCACTACTATATATGTATATATATATGCATATATATGTATATATAATGCTAGTGATATTGTGGTCGGGATATGCACTGGACATTCCGATGAGCAATGCTTGATAATATTCAATTAAAGAGGGGAGAGTTCGGGGCCGAACAAATCCAAACACAATGTCAATCTATATGTATATATAATGCTAGTGATATTGTGGTCGGGATATGCACTGGACATTCCGATGAGCAATGCTTGATAATATTCAATTAAAGAGGGGAGAGTTCGGGGCAGAACAAATCCAAACACAATGTCAATCTATGGAGTTATTTACTGCCGCTCTGGAACGCGTCAATAGGTTGGAATCGGAAGCAGACAAGAAAAGAATGAATAGCAACCCGTCAGATTTGGACGGAAAACGTCGGTCGGTGACCCATGCTCCTTCACGAGGGGTAATATTCAGAAGTATGTAAGTATATTCGACCGGATCTACAGTACGATATTCAAGCTACCGGTACATGTGTTACAAATGATGCTTTTACGACCGGTGTATTCATTGTGCGAGAACAAATTTAGTCAAGTGTTTTTCCAAACTTCTTTATGATGAGCATTTTAATTCCCGAAACCTTTTTGTTCTATTGTATTGCAGACTGCAAGGTGACCTTATATTGACAGTCCGTATCTTTAGTAACTTGTAGTATCGTTTGACATGTTAAGCCCACATACTTTATTCTAGCTTCTGGCCAAGCTAATTCACCTATACATTATGAGTCATATTTTGATCTTGTTAATTATTCGCTTATTAAACTTGACTACTTTTTATTAACAAATGACGTAGACCAGCAAGCTGTGGGCACATGAGCAAATGTTAGCTAGCGTAACAAAAATGATGTGTATTGGAGATGGCTGGGAAGCCAACTCATTTTAGGCAAGCGTTAATCAACATTTATAGTCAGACAAAAATGAATGACAGACATGTGATGAATAAGATACGAAATGTGCATACACATGCGCTCATATAAAAAGTAGTCAAAGTTAATAAGCGAATAATTAACAAGATCAAAATATGACTCATAATGTATAGGTGAATTAGCTTGGCCAGTAGCAAGAATAAAGTATGTGGGCTTAACATGTCAAACGATACTACAAACTATTCAGGTTTTTGCATGCTTTATGTTTTTGCTAGTCCAATACTACTCTTCTCTAAAGGCATATGAAGAAGGTCATAAAACCGCAACCTCATAAACTCAGGATGAAGTTTCGCTATTCTTATTGAACAGTCTAAACGGTTCAAATAGTTCAAATGGTTGAAGACGGAATAGAAGAAGCTTTCGCTTAACGGCTTCCGTGTCTAGTAGCAGTGGATCACCAATACCTCTAGGCAAAAACATAGGTATATGAACGATAATAGAGGAAAAAAGAATTTGGTAAATCAAAATAAGATGTTATCCTCAGTCCTTAAGAATAAGTCAAATTTCCTCTTACAGGACTCCTGGGAGGTCGCTTGGACTAGCTCAGTCGGCAGCGAATTCCAGCAATTGACAACTCTAACGGAGTAGAAGTTGTGTCTACAGTCTGTTCTGCTATGTAGAGTCTCCAATTTCTGGGTGTTACCTCTGAGGTTAGTGTTATGACTAAGCTTAAGAAGTTGTTTAAGGGGATGACCAGAAGTATTAAGGATACTATAAGTCATAAGAAGATCACCTCTAAGACGCCTGTACTCTGACGGAAGAAGGTTAAGTGATTGGAGGCGCTCTTCATAAGGTTTGAATTTGAGTCCCCGAACTGATTTCGTGGCTCGACGTTGTATACGTTCCAGAGTGACCTTATCCTTTTGGAGGGAAGGAGGAAATACTATGTTTCCGTACTCTAAATGGGGACGAATAAAACTGTTGAAGATTATGTGGAAGGTTCTACCGTCAAACTGGCCAAAAATGCGCTTCAATGTTACCAGTGCGAGGTTAGCTTGAAAGGCGTTTTTGTCACAGTTCGCGTACGATTTCAGGTCGTAGGGTACCAACACTCCTAAATCTTTTTCAACTTGGGAAACTTCTAGAGGGGAGTTACCTAAGTTATAACTATAGTCTGCAACATGTTTCAGATGGACTACCTTGCACTTTGAGGTGTTGAAGGTAAGTCCGTTGTCGTCTGTCCAACTTTGAAATTGGGTCAGATCTTCCTGAGGAACTAGTATATCATTATGATTACGCATCTCTCTCCAACGTTTCACATCATCAGCAAAAAGTAATAACAAGGGGGTTTTTGTGGAGATTTAGCACTGCTGAGGAGTCCGTTAATAGAACGAAATGGCCGTCCAGTGCTTCCAGGTTTTCCACGGTGGTCTAGCTTCAATTGACTCATGATCTTAACTATAAAAAAGTAATAGGTCAGATGAAACTTGTTGAGGAAGATCGTTAATGTAAATCAAGAAGAGAAGAGGTTTTAGTATTGAGCCCTGGGGGAACCCACTAGGACATTTCATAGTCTGAGAGAGAGTGAAGTTAACCCTGACCTTAAAGTGTCGGTTTTCTAGATATGAAGTGAGCCAGTCAATGAAAGGGGTTTTATACCCAATCGTCTAAGCTTCTTGATAAGGCATACGTGGTTGACCCTATCAAAAGCTTTCGAGAAGTCCAGGTAGATGACGTCAACCTTCCCCTTGCGATCAAGGATGGTTGTCCATCTATCCACCACAGTCAGCAGGTTGGTCGTACAAGAATGACCTTTTCTGAAACCATGCTGTTGAGGTGAGAAGAACTTTAAGGATGATAAGTATTATTGTATGCCGTCGAATACTAGGGATTCCATAATTTTTGAAGGTATGGAGAGAAGGGCCACTGGTCGGTAGCTTGAGGGTTCACTGCGTCGGCCTCCTTTGAAAATTGGTGTGATGTGGGCCAGCTTCCATAGTTCCGGTAGTTTGCCTCTGCTTAGCGAGTGTACAAACATCACGCTAAGTGGTGTCGCCAGGATTGAAGCTGCTTCTCTCAATACAGCGGAATGAACCATATCCGGACGGGAGAAGTGTCCTTTCTTAGGTGCTGCAGTTTACGGAGCACCAGGTTAGCACTCAGGTCCACTTCGGAAAGTCCTGTACAGATGCAGGTGAGGCTTTCGTCAGTATAGTTGATGTGGGTCAGCTGGAATGTCTGGGAGTATTGTTCAGCCAAAAGATTGGCGGCATCACTGTCGTTATTGGTAGGCCCATTAGGACCTAGCAGTTGGGAAACTCCATTTTTGCCTTGTTGAAGAGAAGCTGCGTAACTAAATAAGCTTTTCGGATTGGAGACGAATATATCGATAAGCTTAGTCTGGAACTGAAGCCTGTCTTCTCTTATTGCCTTTGAACATATGTTCCTTATGCGTTTATATTGCCTGTATGCGTCAGTATTGTCGGTTCGTTTATATTCGGCCCAACAGTGCCTTTTGCGGCTTAGCAAACGACGAGTGCGGTTCTTGATGATTGTAGCTTTTTGAGACCATTTGAGGAACTGAATGCTCAGTAGCACATAAGATCGTGTGCAGTAAAAAATCCCAATGAGCATCCACTTCAAGTTGAGGGTGAACATCCCAATCCACCTGTTGTAGATAGTCCTGTAAAGCTAACACATTCAACAGTTTGAAATTCCAGCGCCTGTTGCTAGTGGGATATCGTAGCTCTGTTTTGCTGACAAAGCTGAATGATAAGACGGCGTGATCACTTTTCCCCAGGGGGGCCAGTATTGAGAGGTCGTCAACTAGTAATTCTTCATTTGTGAATACCCAGTCTAAGCGCGACTGACTGTTTCTGACTGTTTCTCCAACGAGTTGCCGAATCCACATTTTCGAATAATCTCATGTCACCGATGAGGTTGAAGAACAGAGCTTCATTAGAGTTGTCACCTCCAATGTATGTATGTTCCACGAAGTTGATTCTAGGATGATTGAAGTCCCCTAGAATCAGGACTCGAGAGAATCCGAGACGCGTAGAGCGAGTTAATCCTTCCAGCAGACGTTTGCCGTACTCGATGACGGCAGTGGGCTTCCTGTAGATGACCCCAACTAGACACCTCGAGGTGGTAGACAATCCTAATGAGCACCAAACTGACTCTATGTCTGGGACGTCTTATCGGAACAAGTAGTATCTGCCAAACCAGTGAATATTTCCAAGGAGAAGCTGATCTCTCACTGAAAAGCAAGCAGCAATGAATAAAACACGTCCACTGACTACCCAATTGTGAAAACTTAGACAAGGTGCGCAAAGAAATTGGGTATTGAATGACCAAAATCTTGGCAAACATTCGAAGATGAAGATCCGAATGCTCTCACGCAATCCTTCTGATTTTCGCAGGGAAACTGCCGATGATATATTTAAAAGTACGACAGTCTAGCATCAGCAAATGAAATCATAGTTCCTAGAAACCACAGCGCAACAGAACACCCATTTTCATGTGAAAGAGAATATGTCAGGGCGATAAATGCTGCCAAGCTCGGAAAAATGATGGGCAAGCCTTTTATAGGAGCTCTTGAAGGATCAACCGAAATGGTCACAGCTATTTCGTTAAATACAGAGACTTTGGGCATGGCAACTTTTGGAACAGCTGATGGGAAGGTTCGTAGCTCACCTTCTTGTTTCAACTCGTATGTTTAGGTTCAATTCTGGAACATATCAAAAAGAAATAAAGTAGTTGAGGTTATTGCACATGAGAGTGAAGTTCGAGGCATCTGCCACTCCAATAAGTCTCAGCTGATATACACTGTAAGTTATTAACTTGTTTATCACTAAGGCATTAATTAGGAATAATGTATTTGTAAGAATCTCAGCGAATGAATCACTAAGTTACTTAATTTCCCAATTTGTGGAAGCTGCTGTATAAAATTTTAAGGAAATGGCTCGAAAGCCCCGAAGTTTCTCCAGATCAGGGTAAATTCCCCAAACTTTGGAGAAGAACATTAGACTTTGGGAAAACACCCGAAATCCACAAAATTACGGAGATGATGTACTTATATGATAAATTATTTTGTACGCATATTGTCTAAACTGAACTTGACAAGGTTAGCACTCAACGGTTTGTTCACTTACATTGAATTACGACATTTCCCAAATATCGAAACTACATTCACTTCACAACAACTCCATAGATATCAATTAATTTTTCTAGATCATCTCAAAAATACTGGATCGACACATAATAGTCTTTTTTGAAACAATTTTTAACGTATATTTTGTATACTCAAGTTTTGTGATATCGACAAGAGCGACCAGCCCGAAGTAGTTTATTTAAAGTCTCATACCTCCATTCATAACATCTGGACGTGTTCTGTGGAAAGCAGTACCTTAAAAAATGATCTGAAGTATTTACTTCCGTAGGATCCCACACAGTGGAGTGTTCAAAATAAGGCGTGTTATCAAGCTGCACTAAGTAGCAATAATTTAGTTCATTTCCCATATTTCCAAATATGAGACTTTCTATTCCTACCTCCATTGCTTTGCCACCATATGCCTTAGTAATTCAACGTGACGTTTCTTAAGTTCCTTAACTTCGTCTCCATTACTTGGCAAGAATATTCGTTACTATCATACGGAACTTCAGGAGTATTTTTCGGTAACAGGGAATTTTTTGTTGTTCAAGTCCAATACAATGACGATCAAAGATGCGAGGTCTTCATCGTCCTATTTTGATGTGACATTTTGTACTTGTACTATATTACAGACGCTAAATCATCGGTATTATCACTAGCTTACTGTTATGGTTCAACCAGCTAGCCATTAATAATTTGGAAATTGTCACAAATATGCATTGGTCCATATTACCATACCACATCAGCATTATGAGATGAAATTATCAGATAAAGTTCAAAGTAGTATCAATAATGGTGATAAATGTAATTCTAAAGGATGGAAAGTATTCACTGAACAGTGCATGCACCTGTTTCATTGCGAAAAATTCAGATCCATCTTATCCAACGTCTCCAACCAATAGTTTCAACTATCATAAGAACCACGACTAGATAGTCTATACCTCTCATCATTTCTCAGTCTAGCAGTCAGTGACTGTATGGACTGATAATGTCGTTTTCTGGCTGCCCCATAGTTCCATTACAACAAGCATTACTCGGCAAGGTAGGCAATACTTAGTCATACTTAATACCTGTCAGTCGATAACGATCCTCAATCTTATCAGTCCACTTGGTATTTTTGCTTAGTACCCTGCGTCTAGCCCCGAGATGGATAACGCAATCGTCCAAACACATATGGAAAATGATTTTAAAGCATTTGTGACCGAATACTGGTAACTTACAAGACCCCTAACTCTAAAGGCTACGTTTCACTGGTATAAAGTAGTATGAGCCAAATTGCTGGTCGTCATACGCGTCATTTAGTTAGCAGATATTCGTTCTTGAATTAATCGATTTTTTTAAACTGAAAATAACATCCTAGTACTTTATTTCAAATAAGTAACAACTTCAGACATTTTTGCCACTTTCTTACTGTTTAATCGCTTATTTGCAGTTTCCCGTGTAAAACTAACGATTCAAATTGATGCAGTTCTAATTGGTTGATAAAGTTATTAGATTTCATTGCTGCAACGTTACAAAGTTACCTAGTTTCACTGTCGGTGATTTCGCTCAGCCAGTTATTTGGATATTTTGTATTTTAGCTCAGATATGTATAAACTGAGAAATAGAAAATATTAAGGTTATTTTCGACTGATACATTTATATACTCCAACCTAATAGTAGTTAATCTCCTGCTCCAAATGATATCCCCCGGCAGGGGTCCACATCAATAAGAGGGGGCATCGAAAGCGATTTAATATGATAAATTCATGCCATTAGTACATCAAATAAATATTGTAAATTGAGAGTGAGCATCGATTCGATGGTTTATTCATAAGGTGCAGATATTAATGTTACTTACATGTTTTAATTTTTAGAGCAGTTTAATGTATCCAAATATGCAGATTAAAGTTACGTGATTTTCTGCGCAAATACTTTAGTGTCGATCTGTTTGCATAAATTTCTACAACCAGTTAAATACATGCTTCTACCTTGTGCTCCTACTTTACGTCCTGTTTCTGGGTCCCTTCAATCCTCTTGGATTCTGTTCCTTATTAAGAACATCAATGTATTTCCATATGTTTGGATGACCGTCACCAATGAGTTTGTTTAAGTCTCTATCCTACCCTCTCACCTCGCTGTTCGCTTCAGTAAGGTCTTTCATAACGGAACTGTAGATTCCCCATGGTAGAATTCGGCAAATTTGTTCATTATAGTCCCCACCTCTTAGCTCATGTGGTCCAGGTGTCTTCAAAATAAGTAGTTGATACTTTCACTTTTTTTCTTCACTGTTTTCAAAATGGTGATTTCATCAAACTGTCAAATGCTGTCACGACATTTATTATGGGCACTGAACTTAGTACTGTGGCTTGAAACTTTTCTCATTATCCCATTAAATTGTTCTAGAACGGACTGCTATTTGTTCCTCCTCCCCTTTTTGGTGTTCTTTATTACTGTGCACCTTTTTTCACACTCTTTAAAGGGATTGAATCGTTACAAATGAAGAACTGTGTGTATGTATCAACACTTTGTTTCTACCTGATCATTTTTAAAAGTAGGTATTCTGGTTTATGCAAGCTGTATCATTCTGTCAACTTCATTGTTTCCTTTTAATTATTCTATACGTTAATGCCAGAACAATCTGTTAAACTGGTATTTTGGCATTTCAGTTAACTAGCCAATCAATGTATCTGATGGGTTCTTCACTTGAAATCTTCTTTTTCAGTAGTTAACACTGGAGTTAGCAGCAAATGGATAAATAAGATTCTTAATCGATCAGCAAGATAGTTATAATCACAACTCATCGTAATCCATATTTATACATTAATGCAGGTCATTATTTTAACAATCCAACCATAGTTGTTTTGTTGACCATTGATTAGACCTCTATATCATCATAACCCAGTTAAGTTATGATGAATAAAACATTTCTTTTCTGAGGTCTTATCATGCTGAGTAGCTCAATAGTTGCACATAAGTTATGGCACAGTCAGAACTAAACAACTCAAATAACTCTGCTCATTATCTTTCGGATTGTCAGACTCATTGATTATTTTGTATATGACTACCAAAGCAAGGTATAAATGTCTGCAGACGTATTTCTATGTAAAGCCTATAGAGATTAATTCCTTTATATCTGACTCAAATAATATCCCGTTTACTCAGTACTCCCGGTAGTATTATGACTTTACTCGAGATTATTCAAAAGCTAGAACACCAGTTGTAGGGATAGTGTATTGGTAATAATTGATAAAATCCGCAAGCGTGCAGAAAGCAAGCACATAGGGAAACCAGCGAGTATTAAAAATTCATATATATGTATGAGTGTTAATCGAATGTGGGTAATTTATTGATTGTCTGTGTTTACAACCAATCAGAGGATAGATAAAGATTGATGTACATATTTGTGTTCAATCAGGTTCACACATAGTTTTACATAATGTATTAATTGTCCAAATTACAGCAAGTAGACAAATAATAAAATGGGTTTACAACAAGTCTTTATCACTAGTGAAAATCTGGTGTTTGTACTCTAGTTTAAATCTAACCTTTTTACACTGGTTTTCACCTCATAAAATACTTAAGTAACAAGTACTATCCAAATTGATGCTTCAGAAATCACATTAGTTGACCTACTAATTTCGCTTTACGGACGAAATTCTGGATGTGTAGACTGTGAAACAACCTAGTTAATAAAAACACTTTCGATCTAGACGGCCCAACTTAGTATTAGATTGTTATCTGGAGATAACTAAAAGTGAGTCAGCTTGTTTCATATAGGTCCCCATTTCTTCATTTGTATGTAGAACTGTGTTGTCTTTCAGCGATTGTTTGTTGCATGGATCACTGACTCGGCTAATCAATTGATAATTTTTTTTTGAAAAGCAATCCACTAGTTCATTCTCTCAGTAGTGATATAGTCTTGATGCAGTGAAATTATATATGTTTCTTCATAGTTGAAAGCATTAGTCAATTGAAGCTAGTCTACCAAGGAAAACCTGGAAGCACTGGATGGCTGTTTCGTTTTATTGTGGGACTCCTCAGCATTGCGCCTCCACGATCTCGCCTCGCGAGATTCGAACCCACGACCTACCAGTCTCGCGCCAGAGCACCTAACTGATAGACCACTGAGCTGGTATCCGATGGTGTTAATATCTAACTTCAACCAATCCACGAAGTTGAGCAACCGTTCACCAATTGTCTTCAGTGAGTTCCTATCTCACAACAGACGTGGTTGAACTCCAGTAGTCACTGCTTCTCACTAGAACTCTAGGAAGTACCTCTTGAAGTCAGTCACTAGTAAGCATATGATTATTATTATCAGAAGGATGAAACGGTCGTCCAGTGCTTCCAGGTTTTCCTTGGTGGTCTAACTTCAATTGACTCATGTTTTCAACTATGAAAATACTGAAATCTCGACAAAACCCCTTCTTATAATATATGTTTCTGTTGAATTATTTGCTAGTTGATGGAATTTCTAACTGAAATAGATCAACTGATATAAAACCATTCCGTATCTTTTCAGTAATAAATGTGGATTATTCATTAAAACTTTGCAAATCATAATCTATCAAAATCAACTAAGTAACCTTTGCAATCTTTACTTCACTTTTCATATGGTATAAATGCTACCTAAGGTTAGTATAAGAAAATGCATGGATAAGGTAAAAATAAGAAAGGGTTAGAACTGTAAAGTGAAGCTAATCAAATTTGATTATGATGTAATGATTACATTTTTTATAACTCCTGTTCATTCATGTGCAAATTAAGCTATTCACAATATTCGTTTTCGGTACTGCTATTCACTTTCATATGTCCTAAGTCAATTTTTTTTTATCCACGATTAACTATATAAAGTATTTGAAATGTGGTATGGCAACTCGAACTGATGTACGTACGTACGACTGTTGCTGCTACCTTGACGTGGTGGTCGGGCTTGCCCATCGTGATGAACCAATCGAGATATACTGGCTGGAACAATCGTTCCTCAAGGTCCTACCATGGCTGGCAGGTTGGTTGAAGAGCAGTAAGACTAAAAGCAGCAAAACAAAGGTCCGAAGACGAAGTCGTACTGCTGACTGTACAGAGGTGTGACAGCAGTAAGGCGTTTCCTTCAGACAACCAGCATAACAGCGATGCTGCCTTCCCATAAGGAGGGGTGGGGTTAGAAAAGGTCGACCCTAAAAATACACACCCCGCTTTATCCTACGGATATCCGTCTCCGGCGTTAAGGTCCTTTGAAGAACGAAGCTACCACAAAAGGGTCGTGTGTGACCGACCTCAAGCAGTTGTCCCTTGGGCACTGCGGTCACGCTCTCAGGTCATTAAGACCACTTCTAACCCTTTCACGGTGTGGGCAACCAGGAAGTGATAATTGCCCTCATACCTCTAACAGTACTCAAGACCACTGTATTCACTTAAGACGTACGAAGTTCTACGTTGTGACTGACTGACTGATTTGAAAATTATGTTATAAACCTGTAGGTATTTACTCATCAAGCATTATGGAATTTTCGTGAAGAAAACTTAATTCATCTTATATCTTATAAAACAATCCCATTAATTATTAGTCTATTTTCTCTCATTTTTATTATAGTGTAGTCTAGATGGTCAACTCAAACAATGGCGAATGAACTATGATGACATTGTATCATGTTGGAAACAACCACTGAGTAGTGTTTTAATGAAATGGACTCCTCATTGTATGGATCATCATCCTTCATCAAATGAATTTCTTATTGGTGGTCCAGAATCGTGTCTGCTATACTCTTCAGTTAAAATTGATGTACCGTTGCGTGAATGGAGTTGGGGTCAAGAACCGGTTCATGTCGCAAAGTTCAATCCAGTCGAGAATAATATTGCATGTGCTTTGACCAAAGATAATTCATTAATGCTAATCGACTGTAGACAGGACCAACCTATTCGCAAGGTGACACATATATATATGGTTTTTATTCTGGTCGATTATAAAGGTTTGCATAGTTAATCTTGTAGATCAGGCTCCTCCATCAAAATCATGAAACAACGTAATAGTTAGCTAGAGTACTAAATTATACTTATTAGGAAGTTGTTTTATTGCCTTTTTTATTTCTATTCGACATTCAGACTTTGATTTAAATTTAGAATGCTACAGTGAACTGAAGTATATTTTGTATTTTTAAATTGATACTACTGATTGTTGTTACTTTTCTTATTTTAATTATTTTAACATAAAACAAATATTGTTATGACGTCCGGTATCCGAGAGTTGACACTGATATCCAACCTTCCTGATCGGCCAATCGAATGAAAAGACTAAGAGTTGGGAAGGTTTATTAACTAAACCGAATCGACATGTACGCGTACCCACTCATATATATATATATATATATATATATATATATCAAGCTACCAGTGGTGTTTAGGATTTCTTGATCAGTCACGTGCACTTGTCATCTGGCCTATTTCTGATTAACCCAGTGTATCAGTTTTCATTCTTCGAATCTGCTCTCACATGACCACGTGCATACAACCACTGCCTTCTCGTGGCAGTGTTGTTTGCAAAGTTGAGAGGACGAAAAACGAATTTCCGTCGTTTTAACTGGGTTGGTGGACATAGAGGGTCCACCTATAGGAGTTGAAAAACCCTGATTTCAAAAAAATGATGCACATGGGCTCCAGAATCCTGCGGGAAAGTGGCATATGAACTTATTGTTGGTTACCGGCTACGATGGGACTGCATCTCCTGACTTTGATCCACTGCCTTGATGATTATACCTCTAGGTAGAAGACTCGGGGTAGACACCTAAGAAAACCACCTGCTTCAGTTCGGGCACCCGGTTGGTATTCCAGCCCTCCCACAAATGGAATGATAAAGCATAGCGCATATCTACTTGGTGCCTACTTGTACCAATGTTTATATGTTTAAATAAAATAATGAAATAACCAATAACTTCATTTTAAGTTTTCAAGGTTTGAATCAGTAGTTTCTCACACTGCTGAATCCAAATGTTCAACAAGAGTCTTATCAAATATTGTGCTTTTTGTAGATTGACTTTGTTTAATGATTGCAAATGGAAATTTTAGTCACCGAATTGGATTTTGGTTGTTAACATGATTTTCCAACTCCTGAGAACTTTGTAGTGGAGTCTTTAAACTATCCTGAGATCGAATTCGCTTAACATAGACGGAGGAAATTATTTTATTTGGATCCAGTATCTTTTCGATAAAAAAGATCAATTAGACCGTTAGAAGATTAATGGTTACAGTTGAATGTTCGAAGGTCATACATATTGCACTAGTTATTTTTCATAAAATCTTACAGAAAGATACTAATCACAATTAAAACAGAAGCATGAGTTATGTAGCCCAACTCGAACTAAGTTGTTGTTTTTGTTCCGTCACAGTCCCATTTAGTTGCTGACTAAACTTAAATCATATTTCTTATGATTTGACATAGGCTATAACCAATTGTTATGTCTTGATCAAGATCGTTGCTTATTATTGTGACCTATTCAAGGTCGTCGCTGATTTGTTATGACCTTACGAATTAAACAAGGACGTAATTCACGTAAATTATCCACCAATAGAATACGACTTCTACGACCTTCACACTGTGACAATGACGTTCGATTAGTATGAGTAATCTAGCGTCCTTATTGGCCCTTAACCGCCTAACCCGTCCACTTGAGTCCAGAACACCAATAGCAGCTATTGTAGTGCGAACCACACCATAAGATAGGAAATAATATTTGTACAAAACCAGGCCAAATGTGGCTGTGAACGTGGAAGACAATAATCAATAAACTGAGTATAATTTAGGAACAGTAAATCATATAATAATAATCAATAGGTCAAGTTGAAGCTTGTAATAAAATGAATATAGATATAGATAATCTAGTTTCTGAATAGTTATACAGTAGGAATATACATAGAATAATAGTCCAATAATAGGTCCTGCAAGTTACCGTACTTATGTCTTCGCTACTACATAACAATATTTAGTTGGTGTTTTATGGTTATGTGAATATAATTCGTTCCCTGATTCTCTATGTCACCAATCAAATGCCATATCATTGCGAAATAAACACCCATAACCTATTTAGATATTAATTCTTGATTGCCAGTTCAGTGTTTAATTTTTACTAAGCCATACATCAGTTCGCATCATCGTGGGTTGCATACCTGATATTCTGTTTTATCTTTAGTTCACCACTTTTACTAAAACCGTAACATTTTAATTTCGTGTTATCCGTGTTACAGGTCAAAATGGATTTGAAATTAAATTCATTTTCATGGAATCCAATGGAACCATTCATATTCACTGCTGCATCCGAAGACTATAATGTTTATACATTTGACAATCGTTTTTTCAAATTCCCTCGTAGAGTTTACCGTGGTCACGTAAACGCAGTACTTGATGTAGACTATTCACCAACTGGAAGAGAATTTGTAACTGGAAGCTACGACTCAACAGTAAGCATATTTGTTTTCTAACTTTATATCTCCACAGATTCGACTTTGGAAGTGTGATTCTACAGAATCGTTTGATGTTTATCACACCAGACGCATGAAGCGTGTGCTTGTCGTCAAGGTGACATTAGATGCAAAGTTTGTTCTGTCATCATCATCAGATCAAAACGTCCGACTATGGAAAGCTCACGCTAACGAAATTATTGGACCGGTATTTTCATTCAACTTACTCATTAAATTTTATTCTGTTTAGATTCAGCCAAGACAAAAAGCATCCCTACAGACATCTGAATCTTTACGAGAGAAATTCAAAGACCATCCAGAAGTCCGGAAAATTCTAAAGCATCGTCATCTGCCTAAAACGATTCACGCCTCCAGTAAAGAACATGCAGTAATCAGAGCCAAAGAAAGGCGCAAGGAAAGAAATACTCGTATATTTAATAAAAATGATCTTCCATTTGTTCCTGATAGAGAGAAACACGTCGTCGCACAATATAAATAGTCTTTGTATCTTCGTTTTTTTCGATACAATACTTCGGGATGTGCATGAACTCAAGGTGAATTTCGTTTATGTAGCCAAAGACCCACCTTTTACTGATTATATGAAACCGAAAGCAATTCAAGCTTTTAGAACAAACAAGACAGTGATCAGTTAATTGGTAACGTAACTGAAATACGATGCTGTTGCGTATAGCTAAACTGGTATACTACACTGGCGGTCTTCAATGAACGAGTCAGGATTGAGATAGCGCCTCATGTTTTTCGCGCGAATTCTAAAGCATGGTGTTGGGTAGCTTGTATGTTGTGACTAATTAGGTTGGTGATATTTGGTTCTTAAGGTAATTTTTTGTCGTTTGTTAGCCACTCAGCCCATTCATCGCATCCACTTTCCACCCGGCCTCTAATAGGTGGTGTGTTATCGAACAACAAAGACCGTTCTTTCCTTTAATCTATAGGTTCTCTAAATGCTCCGTAATGCATTTAGATACCAGTTTTATTATAAGTTTGTAGACTTTGTACCACCCCAGCACATATTTTCTTTATCAGGAGGTAACGCATTGCAGTGACTTCATGAACGGGGAGTACTCTGTTAATATGATTTGTAACTTCAAACTTCTACTGTCCAGAAGCAAGAGGTTTCATTTTTGTTCCAAAGAATCTACCCCAGGAATAACGTCCAGTAAATGGCTTTTTTTATGGTTTCCAAATTTGATTATTTTACCATGGTTATTTACTTTCATTTTTATCCCATTTTGGTAAGCAGTTTTATTCAAGACTAATACTTTATCAAAGTCACTAAAACATTTTGGAGGTTCTGGTCGCCTGTGGATTGCAACTTGACAAATGGAAAAGGATGGTTACTTGAGGCATGCGCTAATCTCACAGTGACGGCTGACAATAGACTCAGTAGGTCTGACCACAAGTGGATATGTTTCTGTGATGTTTGTATAAATTAATTATCCCTTTGTACTTGATGACTGTCTGATTTTGAATTTCAAGTACAATACATTCGTTCGGGTTCATCTAGTTTGACTTGATATAAATTGTGTTATTTCGGAGGTTCCTACTTCGTATAATAATTCAAATACTTCTAACTGCCTTATTGGCGTCGCAATGGAGCGTTTGATGAAACACTTGAACATTCAAATTTTGATGCTTTAGAGGATTATGTTGAAAACTTCGAAATCTGAACTATGATCAAGGAAGATGTTGAGGATGTTAATATTGAGGCTCATTTCCTCACCATTAAGTTCTCTACTTGATTGACGCAGAATACGGTTTACGACTACGACACTCGTCGCAAATTAGGAGACAGAAAAACTGGAGAAGCGTTTATTAAGCAAGGATCGAAATGTCCAAAAAATCAAGGGTATTTATAGATGTTAGCATTTGTTAGATCAACATCATAATTCAATCAATTCGCAAGGAGATATATTATGCTATTGTCCAGTAGTAGCATGCCACGTTGATATTCTCGAAAGTTCCATCACGTTCTGATTAGGTGGAAATTCTTCGGCTCCTTTAGGGCCTCTGGAGGCTCTGTTGTTTTTCTCGGAAGCCGACTGAGCACTGACATTCATCGAAAAAGAAGCCTACACTTTGTTACATACTTCGACATTTCCAGAAAAGCCTATTCCACTGTATGTGCAAGGAACTACTTTTAGACCATGTATAGTGTGCAGATTTCGAATGCTGTGAGGGAGAAAATTTCCTTAAGTGATTCCTCAGGACATCTAGGATTCCGCTACATTACTCTGTCATCCTATTTCAATGCCTGCTCAAAGTTATGCAGCTAATTCATTGAGAAGTTGCGAATCAGATCACGAAGATGAGCACAAGTTTGGCAAATGTTTGTTCTGTGGTAAATTTCACTGTTATAAATCATGTGTGTTTCGTAATGTTACATGTGGTATAATTGGACACATACAGGCAGTTTGTAATACTTCCATCTTGCCAAATTCCTGTCTTTGGATATTGGCACTCTAAGACTGTTAATATAACACGTGGGGTTATACAAGAAAGTGCAATTGATTCATTGCTTCTTCTCTTTTTGTTGATGAGGTTTGCGCTCTTTCAATACGTTAAACCTTTCCTTTTCATTGATGACCCGAAGGTGGTTTATTCATTCTCTTCTCCTATCAAAGAAAGCTATAGTTCAGCTGTAACCCAGGAAGAAGCAAACAAGTTATACGAACGGACTGTGCCGTGGGATCTTTCAAAATTGAATTTACTCACATTGACCTTGAAGCTGTAAATAAGTCCCGAAAATCAATAGCTTTCTAAGTGTTCGACATTGGATGCTGACCACGTTGTTTAAGTGGATTTGTTTAACTGAAGGCTTTCGGTCATGCATCCGTACCAGATCACGTTTCGACTCGGCGTGGGACACAGCTCCTACGTTTCACTAGATAGCTAAGAACAAACGCCTCTCGATATATTGGTAACGTATCAAATATATCTTTCCTACCTCTTCTCGTCTGACTTCTGATTTCCTTTGGTCGGGAAGGTTTCCAATATAGAAGGTACTACTGGTTGCTAGTTGTCAAACTAGAATACCAGTCGTATCCTCAACCTAAATCTGACTGTACAATAACATACACTGAAACCTCTCAACACCGTTCGTGACATGGGTTTGAGATACAGCAACAGTCTGAACTTTTCCTAGCACATTGTATCCCAAATATCTAAAGCTAGGAAGCTCATCGGATTCAGAATGATAAATTTTAATAATATCGAATCGAGATTATTATTATACAGAAAATGTATCTTACCCATTCATGTATATAGTATCTTAGTTAACGGTAATTGCAGGCATAATGACCTGATTACAATTGAAGGTGTTCAAAGAATGTTCATCAAGGCTGTTTTGGGGTATCCCAACAACAAGGAATATCACCAAAGATGTCAGCAACTCAAGGTAGAACTTCTCTGAATCAGGTGTATGAAATTAAATCTCGTCTTAGTCAGGCGGCTTATAACAGCATTTCTTATCCTTCGGCATCCATCCCTTCATACTCTATGATATCATTCCACAATCTATTCAATAAGAAAAATATTCTAGCGATTTCGAGATCCTGCACTTACGCCAGAAGTTTTCATTATTCGCTATCCAATCATGTCGAACAGACTACTAGCGAACCTCTGTTTCAGTGAAACTACGATTCTTTTCAGAAGTCTCCTTGATGATTCGCTTTTCCAAAGTGGATTGTGTCACTGTGGTGCTTGTATGAACTAATGATTCCTTCGTAATTGATGACTGACTGATTTCGAATCCCAAACACAATATGATCATCCTTTGCAGTTGATTGAGAATTTCATAGCATCACTCCAAACGGTTACTGTACTAACACTTATTCTACCGTCACATCTTATTTGAATAATGTTATTTTCTTATTTATTTACTTTAAATCTTTGTTTCTGTAGTTCATTTGGCGATTGATAAATAATCGTCATGTGTTCACAAACACGCTTATTAAACGACTTACGTTTTTTGGATTCTGTGATAATTAGGAGTATTTGAATTATAGTACAAACTAGGAATTCAAGTAATAACGCAACTTAACCAAAAAGTACTAAGTGAGCACGAATGAATGTATTGTATTTGGAATTCATATTCAAGCAGTCATCAAGAGCAAAGGAATCATTAGTTCATGCAAACAGTACATCTGCCACAGCTTAAATTATGCTCTAGGTGTCTGTAATCGATTGTGCTTCTCTTTCTTAAGTTTATCCTACGTCTGTATGGTAACGTGTTCAATACAAATTCTGTATTATCTTCAATGTACTCATTAGTGTTATAATTAAAGATCGAAATTGGAACAGACTCACCTGGTATCCTTGAATTGTGTTTGATCAATATTTCAGTTGTGTATACTCAGGTCTTTGATATCTAGAATTTGCACCATAGATTTCCCGACGTTCTTCACTACAATCCCCGTGGCTGGTCGACGACCATGTCCACGATAATATGTTACCTCTACAGGCTCCAATCACTTCATATTCGAACGAAGAATTCTCCTTTTTAATGGCTTTGGTGTAATCTCTTTCGTCAGAGAATTTTTAGCATCTCTATATCGTAGCAGAAGTGTATCTCTCTCTCTCCAGTTCATTAAATGTTGTACCAATATAATCAATAGCAATTTTCTTATGTCCTGACAAAATTTTCTGTCTAACCATTAGAACAAGGGTGTCTGTGAGCAGATGTCTGCGCTCAATATCATTTAATCAGGTAGTGTCTACATTTGCAACAAAATGAGAGCCATCATTAGTCACTAACACTATGGGAACCCCTTCTTGACTAAACACATTTTTTAATGCTTGGATTGTGAAGTCAGAATTTGGTGAAGTTGTAGAAAAACGTTCAGGCTACTTAAGAAAAGAATCAACAAACACAAGTGTATAGTATTTGCCAAGAAATGGACCACAATAGCCTGCATGTATTCTCTGTCAGGCCTCACAGGATACTGTCCATGGAGTTTACATGGAAGGCTGATTTTTCAACTTATGATATTTTTAACAATTGTTTGCTGTACGACATATATCTGTATTTATCTCTGGCCACCAACATGTCAGTCTTGTCAGGGATTTCATTTTCTCAACACTTAAATGTCCACTATGGAGATCTTAAAGGACAGGTTTACTCAACCAAGTAGGAATAGCAATGCAATCATTCAGATACGAAATACCATCAGGAGTAGTGGATAACTCATCCCGCTTTGAAAAATAGACAGGAAATCTACGGTTCAGATTAGCATTCCAACCATTCTGTATAGCACTGAGTAATCATTCAGAGTATCTACGGGTTTCTCTGAGATCTGGACGTCTTATTATTAAAAATCGTACTAAAAAACTGTCTAAAGTATTAAAAGGTCTGTATTGTAATGAATGTCGATAAATAAAGTCAACGTATTGGATTTGTTTTGCATTCCTGTGCTAGACCGTATAGTCATAGGCACTCAGTGCAATGATACATCGTTGAACTATAGCAGATGAGGAACGTGCTTAGGACTTTTTTAAGATAATTGATGAACTTTAAAGCTTCATGATCAGTAACAATGGTGAAATTCTTTCGAAATAAATATATACGGAGTCGGTTAACAGCCCAAAACATATCTTCTCGCTGTGTTTGTGAATAACCTTGTTCAGTAACAAAAGGTTTGCGTGAAACACAGAAAACTGATCTACCTTGCTGTTTCAAAACTGCACCAATACCCACTGGTGATGCATCAGTAATAAGTACAGAATGTAAACCGTGTGAGTAAGTCCGTAAAACAGCATCATCTTGAGGAAACTTTAGCAGACTTTGTTTACATGACTCTTGTTCCACACTCCATTTGAATGAATTGGATGTCAAAATATTAAATAAACAATTGGCACAACAAAAGAAATTAAGAGTAAAACGGGAATAGTATTGAAGAGCACTCACTAGCGAACGTAGCTTTGTAAGATTTTTTGGAGGCGGGGCATTTTTTAGTGGGGCTTGTCGTTTCGTATCTGGTCTAAAACGATTACCATCAATTAAGTTGATATATATGAAGCGTTACGAATTCACTACTAGCGAACGGAACAAAGACACGTGACCAGAGACCGATAACTAGCTATAATGACGCGACCCAGACCCAGCTAACTAGAGTAAGAAGTCCAAGTTGGAGTGGGGAAGTTATATTCCGTAGCAGCCAGAAGCACAGTAATCAAATAAGGGAAAAAAGTCAAGCGTATTTATACAGCAACGAAATGTCTTTGGGCATCGTTAATAATTAGCACACACAAAGAAACATTGGACCAATAGCGTTTAAGATAGTTACAAGTGGGAAATATGATGTGAAGGTAATAAGAGCACGTTTTGGCGCGAAAACAGCTAAATTCAAATTTCCAAAATAAAATTACAAAATTGAGCCACTTATCAAGTAAGTTCTGGGGATTTGACATCCCCAACATAAGTATCCAAGACCAGATAAACAAAATGAACAGTTATTAGGATCCCCCGTGATATTGTTTTCAATTACACGACTCAATGAAGCAATAGTTCTCTGGTCATGAACTACTTTATCAGTACCATGAATAATAGGATCATCATGACCAACTTCAACACCTTCAAAATAACTGATTACCTGAAATATGATTGGATAACAAATTAAACTTGTAGTGACGTGCTTCGTTAATCGATCGTCTCGATAACCGTTATTATATCAATCTGAACGGTGTATAATATCAGAAGACAAAGGGAAGCGGAAACTACATTTTATTGACAAATAACATAGGCTGGATAGCAGTGAGCACATGAGCAAATGTTAGCGAGCGAAGTAAAAATGACATGCATAGGAGATGGCTGGTAAGCCAACTCGCTATGAGCAAGAATTAATCAACATTTATAGTCAGACAAAATTGAATGACAGACATGTGATAGGTAGGATAAGAAGTGTGCATACACATACGCTCATATAAAAAATAGTCAAGGTCAATAGGTGAATAATTAACAAGATCAAAATATGAATCATAACGTTATAGGTGAATTGGCTTGTCCAGAAACTAGAATAAGCTTTGTAGATGTAATATAGTACACGACGTTACACTACTCCCCACAAACTAAATGAAAGCAAGTTGAATTTGAACAGACCAAAAGGATTGTTAATGGCTGTCAAAATAGATGAGGAATGATCTTAAGGGTGTAGCTGTAAATAATTCCCCAAAATCAATAGTTCATTAAGTGTTCGACATTGGATGCTGACCATGTTGTTTAAGTGGACTTGTTTAGCTGAAGGCTTTCGGTCATGCATCCGCACCAGATCACGTTTCAACACGGCGTGGGGCACAGCTCCTACGTTTCATTAGCCAGCTCATAGAAAAGGTCCTCGATATATTGGTAACGAATCAAATATATCTTTCCTGCCTCTTCTCGTCTGACTTCTGATTTCTATCTGACTGGGAACGATCAAATATAGAAGGTGCTACTGGTAGCTAGTTGTAAAACTAGAACATCCGTTGCATCCTCATTGGTGAACCCGACGTGATCTGGTACACCAAGTCAATATACTGTGAGTCTGTTCCATTTTGGAATATTATTATTCATTGTTATTTTTTATTTGAATTTTATATATTGTGATATACTTTTTTTCGCGAATTTTTTTTCTCGGATATATTTTACTTAGACATTTTTCGATATCTATATTACTATGACGGAACACTCTCCTAAGGTTCTTAAGTTTAAGTCTATTCCCCCTATTTCGATTCAGTTAACGCCATTTTGGCCCGACAATATCGAGTCCTGATTCTGCTATGCAGAAGCCGATTTTAGCATGCACGGA